CCCCATTCCTCCCTCCCTCCCCATACTGCTTCATTGGGACACACTTCATGTGCCCCTACCCTTGGGCTTTTCTATTTCTTTTTTCTTAAGATTTATTTATTTATTTATTTATTTATTTATTTATTTATTTATTTATTGTGTATACAGTGTTCTGTCTGCATGTATGGCTGCAGGCCAGAAGAGGGCACCAGATCTCATTACAGATAGTTGTGAGCCACCATGTGGTTGCTGAGAATTGAGCTCAGGACCTCTGGAAGCACAGTCAGTGCTCTTAACCTCTGGGCCATCTCTCCAGCCCGCTTTTCTATTTCTTAAGCAGTCCTTGCTGCTCCTTCCATCTCGACACATTTAGAAAGCAGACCTGGTGACAGACTGGCTCCAAGAAGAGATCCCAGGGCAACAACCAGGTTTTTAGCTGATCGCATGAGGAATGTACTTTACAAAATGATGGTTATACTTACGTATCCAGCATGTTGGGATCAGCAAAGACAGAGAAGAGGTCCTTGTCCTGGAGAACCCCTGGAAGATAGCAAGATTTCTCTTAGACAGTGGAAATCTAGCCATATCCAGAAGGAAAAGGCAGCATTAAATCTCAAAGCAAGCAACTCAACGGGACCCCAAACCAGCCCTCCTGAGAAAGGAAGAAATGAAGTCGAGGGCATCTTATTCCAGTGGGAATGCTCCAGCTGTCCCCACATTCTCCTGCACTTAGCACACAGAGCTGCAACAGTGGAGGTCTGAGAGCCCTTAGGGGCTAGGTTTGTGGAATGAACCTTGATCATGTTCCCTCGTCCCTCAACAGCAGTGCTTCTTCAAAAGATGGTCAGAGCCCCCTTTTGCTCCTAGTTTTTTCCTTTTCCTTACATTTCTTTAAATCTTTTCTTGTACTTACCTAGGGCAATGGGGTCACTGCTGAGACCTGGGGTTGCCACAATGATCTGATCTAGAGATTCTTTATTGCTGAGCATCTTAAAGACCTGCAGAAGAAAACAGGGATGGCTTAGAATTCTACCTAGTGCCATACAGTCACCAAGTGCCCACACTCTTCTTGACTTCCTCCCTCTGAATGTTTGTATAGAATGCTTGTATACATACCACCACAAGGGAACAGTCTCTATGGTTCCCCACCACCATCCCTATACTTCTAAAACAAGACCAACAACAATTTCTCCAGATCCATGCTCTATACAATGACTACTTTACACTGGTAAATATTGGGAAGGATGTTCACAGCTGCATTGATTCTGCCTGTCAACAGCTCATTTCTCCAGTGGGGAAATCCATACTTAAGAGGTGACAGGCAGTTCACCTTCACCAAGAGTCATAGATCAAGACCCATCAGTAAAGGTACAGGGATTCTGAGAACAGTAACCATACTCAGTCCATAAGACCAGCCTGAGGAGAGGCTGTCTAAGCAGCATCCTACGGAATCAACAACCAATGCCTGACTGAGACAGGCTCTTTGAGGAAAGACAGGATTCTGCTGAGGCCCACAGACATGGCAAGAACTCTCAAAGGAACTCTTGGTTGTCGTGGCGATGTGCTGTCAGCTCCCAGGCTGAACACTGGCCAGTGACAACACCATCTCCTGCAGTCTTGGCTGAACTCACCGCTTCCCTGTAGGAGGAGCTGCTGTGCAGGGCGGTGTGCAGCACCCGGAACTCCCTCAGAGCAGTAGCTTTGTCCACAGGTTCTAGAGGAGAAGATGTGGTTATCCAATAAGTCCAGGCACTGTCATTACCACAGATGTGGAGACACTTGCTCTACAGAGTCCCTCCCCTCATCACCCTCCAAAATGTGAGCACTACCTCAGAAAAACCCATTTGTGCCACAAGTATGAAATCTGTATAGTCAATAAATTATCTTTGGTACATAAAACAAACAAAGTTCCAGCAGAGGGGGATCTTACCACATGAAAGAGGCTTTTCTGATCAACAACCTACTGCAGGGATTCTAGACTTCTTACATTTGAGAAGGAAGAATGTATAATCAACTCAGTGGACTCTTACGTAGGGACTTAAAGTAAGTTCACTCCAAGCCATCTTAACGATATAGCACTATGCTGACACAATATGTTAAGAGGAAGAAATAGAACACAAAGTTGGATGTGCATTCTCTGGTAAAACTATGCAAAATATGTCAGTCTGCATATGGTCCAAGGCTGGAAGGAGCAAGATAAAGAATAACATTTTCTAAGAGGGATAAGCCCATGGGTAATTCTTTCTTCTTTGTTATTTTCTTTCAGATTTCTCTATTTCTTTTTAGGCGTCTTTATTCTTTTTTATTTATCTTTTAATTATTATGTGTATGAGTGTTTTGCCTACATGTATGTCTGTGTACCATGTGAATGCACTGCCATCAGATTCCCTGGAACTGGAGTTACATTTAATTGCAAACTACCTGCAGGTGTTAGAAATTGAACCGGGGCGGGGGGGGGGGG